CACTGGGGACAGTGGGAGGTGTCCCTGCCATGGCAGGGGTGTCCCTGGGTGGCTCTGAGTCCCTCCCAGCCATTCAGGGAGTGCCAGAACAGCCAGGGCAGCCCCTTGTCCATGGCTGGTACAAACCAGGCCCTGCTGGTGCCACACTGAATTCAGTGAGAGCAGAGCCAGCCTGGGGAGCTGCACCCTGCTCTATCCAGGTCACTGCAGCCTCCTGCCCTTGCATTTACTGCCTTTCCAAACCTCCCAGCTAAAAGCTGTCTCAGAGGGAGAGGAACTGCACACACGGGTCTCTGGGGAGGATTCAAGAACTTTTGTTAAATAAGTATTTATTTATTTCTCCCCTCTCCTCTTTTTTTCCCCCTCCCTTCTGAAGCTGGGAAAGGACAGCAAAGCACAATAAACCTGCCCACAAAAGGAAGTGAAGTGTCACCAGAATTTCAGTGCTCAGGTTCCCTGGCTCTCATTTCAGTGCACAAAGCTGCACTGAGTCAGCAGTTTTCATTCATAACGCTGGCAGGATTTTGAAGGGGGTGTTTTAAAGAGGAGGACTCCGTTTCTGTCACTGGTTTGAATTGCCAAGCAGAATGTCTGAGTTTAACAGAACAACTGAAGAGATTCCCATGAGCACACTCCCTGCCCCAGCCACGCCGTGCTTTCCCTAAGAAACCGCAGGTGGTTTAATCCAGGATTGCACCAAGGTAATCCAGGGAGAGCCGGAACTTGGCATTACAGAACAGATTCTGGAACCCCAGGAACTGAGCGGCTCCAGCAGCATGGCCTGATTTCCCTGGAGCTACAGAGATACATTGTCCTGCTGGAAGCACTGAGGGCACGAAAAATGCAACATTATTTCTGACACCTCACGTGATCACTGACTGCAGCAACGTTATCACCCATCACAAAATCCTCCTGGCCCCCTAATTCCATCAAACTCCTCAAAACCCCCAAGACACAATGGGCACAAAGTTCATTATTCAGGCAGCAGCAGAGCCCAGGCAGCAATGAGTGCAGCAGAACAGAGAGCAGCCTGTGAGGCTGAGGTTCAGTAACATGTCATCCATCCCTGGAACTCCCTCAGCTCTGCCAGCCCAGCAGCAGCAGCCAAGGCACTGANAATAATAGTATACTCAAAAAATGGTGTTGTAAGCCCCTTTTTGTTGACAATTGCTGCCTGCTCTCCCCACAAAACAACCCAGGAAGGGAGAAGTGCTTTCAGGAGCTGGAGAAGCTCCTGGGGGCACGTGCAGTGTGTAACAAGGAGCTGTCCCTGTGTCCTAGGAGAACCTTCCTCCCAGCAGAGCCCACGATGTGAAGGTGCAGGTCAGAGCCTGTGCTCTGAGCAGGGTGGACACTCAGGTATTTGTTATTTGTTTGTGTGTTTTACTGGGGGTCTCTGTGCTCCCATGGCCTTGGTTTGGGCTGGCACAAGCTCAGCTGTGCCTTTGCTGCTGGCAGTGGGCACAGAACGTTTTAGGGGTCTCCCCATCAGGGGCATCCTTGGGAAGGTTTCCACAGGCACAGCACTGGGCTGGGCTTCTTGCACAGCTCTGATTGGAGAGCATCTGGAATTTGATTCCTAATTCATGGAGATCAGTTGTCACCTGAGATCTCTTACAGTAAATCCCTTTTATCTTCATCTAAGCCACAGGTTGGCTTGGCTGGTAGTAACTCCCTGCTTTTATTTTTTAATGTTTCTAAATTTAAATACAGAATTCAGTGCCATGGTTTAAACTGGGGAAGGTTTGCACTTCCTTCCCCTGGATAACATTTTGGTAATGGCCCAAGCTTCCTGGGATGATCCAACACTGTGAGATGTAATTCATTTATAAATGCAGAGCTTTAGCAGGAATGATGCCAGCATTGTTTTCATTTAGCTCCTGGCAGAAATCAAACTGAAGAAGGAACTTGTGCCTGTGGGGAGAGAAATTTCAGGAGTGGTGCTGGAAGGTGAGTGAGTGGCAGTGGCCAGGGAGGGAGGAGGGAGCAGGGATTCCCCTCAGAGCCCAGAACTCTCTCTGGAGAGCTTTGTGGAGCCCTTGGCTGCTCCCAGTGCTGGTAGCACTCCCCTGAGGTGGAGAGTCCAGCCCTGTGTGTTCCTGCAGGGAGCTCCTTGTGCCAGAGTCTGGGAATTCAACATTTGGGCTTGGCATCAAGAATCAATCAATAATTGTAATCAATAGAATTATGGTTTTTCACAAGAAATGTGTGTCTTTAGTTTTGTGAGCTAGTGATAACCAATGCTTCCAAATGCACATCCAATTCCTGCTCTAAATATTTCTCTTCTTCCCTTCTTCCCTCCTTTTCACCTCTCCCTGGTGAGTTGGAAGCAAGGTGACCTTTTTCCAGCCAGATGATGAAGTGGTGGGTAAGTTAATGCCTGTTTGCCTCAGCTGACACCAGCAGTCATCTTTTTATAATCAATGACTGAGCTTAGAATAATTGGTCAGGCTAAATCCACCATGTATTTTCAGAATTCAACTGCTGTCACAGGAATAAACTTATAAATGGGAATTCTGTTCTAAGAATGTTCCCTTAGGATTTGAAATATGATGTTGTGTTAACCATCAGATTGTGAGTGATGCCTTAGGAGAGAGGAGTTATTTCTTAGAGCATTCTGTGCCACATGTTGATGTTTTGTGTGCTGGGTGAAGGGATTAGAGGATGGCTGAAGTTCTGAAAGCAGGACAGAGTGGAGGTGCTGGGGGAGATGTGTGTTGGGGCATTGTGGTCCTTGCTGCATTATTCCCTCATGGCACAGGAGCTGCTCTGGGCAGAGTCTG